CAATATCATCTGCAAATATCATATTCCACGGGACTGTTTGAGGTATAGACTGTGCTAATACATCTATTACTGTAATGAAGAGAAGTGGGCTGAGAGCCGACCCTTGATGAACTCCTTCGGCTATTGTAAAGCCTGCTGAAGTACCTGTTGTGCTACGGACCATTGTTGTATGTCCCATATACATATCCTCTATTATTCTTATATATTTTTCGGGAACTTTTTTGTGGCGTAGCGCCCACCAGATAAGTTTTCTTGGGATTCTATCAAAGGCCTTTTCTAGATCGAGAAAGACCATGTGTAGCTTTTTGTTCTTTTCCCTGTATTTTTCACTCATTTGCCTAATTGCATGGATAGCATCGGTTGTTGATCTTCCAGGCATAAAGCCAAACTGTGTCTCTCCTATTTCGATTATATCTCTTAATCTTTTTTCTATTATTTTTTCGTATAGTTTTAGACAGTGTGACATTAGTTTTATGCCCCTGTAATTTTGACAATTGTGTGGATCCCCTTTATTTTTGAAGATAGGAACTAGATAGCTCTGCCTCCATTTTTGGGGGACCTCTTCATTTCCAAGTATTTTATTGTACAGATTTGTGAGGAGATGTATTCCATCATCTCCTAGTGCTTTAAGGCTTTCTATTGGAATATCGTCTGGACCCCTAGCTTTGTTGTTTTTCATATGCTTGAGGCATGTGATTATTTCTTGTTCTGTTATAGGTTGTACAAGGTTTTGACAAGGGGAGTGTTCGTCGAGATGCAATATGTGGGAATTAAAGTTGAGAAGCTCCTGAAAATATTCTTTCCATCTATTCATTATTTCTTTTTCCTTTATTATCAATTTCCCATCTTTATTTTTGATTACTTTCGGAGCTCCGTTTATATCCCTAGAGTTCTTTTCTCGCTGTTTGGCTAATCTGTATATTTTATTTTGCCCTTCTTTGGTATGTAGATCTTCGTACATGTCATCGTATGCCATAGATTTGGCCCTAGCCACCGCCTTTGTAGCTAATCTCTTGGATTTTTTGTATCTTGACTTGTCATCTGCATTTTTGGATTTGTACCATATTTTATAAAGGGCTTTTTTCTCCTGTATAGTGGTTTGTACCTCTTGATTCCACCACCATAGTTCTTTGTGTGATTTGTTGCCTCCTCTTGTCAAGCCTAGCGTCGATTTTGCAGTGTCTATTAATCTGGATGAAAGGTCTGTCCATATTTTTTCACTGACTTGTGAGCAATTTATTGTTTCAATGTTTGCATTGATTGCAAAGGCATCTGTCATTGTTTTTAATTTGCCCCATTTGATGCATGGTTCCAGTTTTATCTTATTTTGAGTGGATTTATTTGAGATTTGTAAATCCATGATTAGTAGCTTGTGTTGCGCGGCGATATCTTCTCCTGGGATGACTTTGCAGTCTATTACATCTTTTAATCTTCTGCGAGAGATTAGCATGTAATCTATCTGTGTTTTCCTAGTACCACTTTCATATGTTATTAAATGACTATCTTTTTTCCTATAGTAGGTGTTGGTTAAGGCAAGGTCGAAGGCTTGCGCAAATTTCAGTACGTGCTCTCCTTCATCATTTCTTTCTCCGTATCCAAAACCACCATGATGCCTTTTGTAGCTATCTCTTGCTTTCCCCACATGCGCATTTAAGTCACCACCAATTATGACTAGGTCATCCTTAGGGATTTCCATTACAGCTACATCAAGGATAGCTCTAAAGTCATCTTTCTCTTCTTCCTTGCAACCCGTTTGAGGAGCATATACTGATAGGATGTGTAGTATTGATTGACCAATGCAGAGTTTTATCTTCATTAGTCTATCAGAGATCCTGTTGACTTCTACAACTGAGGAGGTTAGATCTTGACTGAGGATGATGCCGACACCGTTCCTATTGCTAACAAGTCCATTATAGTACAATTTATACCCATCTCCAATCATCAAAGTCTTCTGTCCTTTCCATTTCGTCTCTTGTATACACGCTATATCAACTTTTCTCTTGTTCAACATTGATGCCAATTCTCTCGTCTTACCTTTAAGCGTCCCAATATTCAAACTTGCCAGTCTTGTCTTCTTTGCTTTGACCTTTACTTTATTTTTCACAGGATGGAGGTCTACACCCTGCGCGTCGCATGGAGGGAACGCCCTAGCTTTCATATTCATATTTTCATTTGTGTCCTTCATTTTGTTTATTGGACAGGTATCCTTAGCACCCGGCTGTCCAGGCCTGTCGGTGACCGGGGTGTCATCTCTAAGCTCCGAAATTCATCATACCATATGTCTTTACACATCAGTCATCGAAGAAAAACTTGAAAGTTTTTATGGTTTACCAGGATTGAACCCGCGTCCTTGTTCATGCTCGTGTTTCCAAGCCTACATCTTACCCATTAGGCCACCCCGGCGATATAATAATAAAAAAAAAAAAAAAAAAAAAATGAATAAAATTATATTAATAATTAATTTTTATTATAATATTTTGTTATTCCCATTGGTTATATTTTACTTTTTATATTAAAAAAGTGAAAATTTCTAATTAGTTTAACAATATAAATTTTATGTCTCTAAAAATTACCAATATAATGATTATATTCAGTTTTTTTTAATTTTTTAAAGGATTAAGTAAAGAAACTTAGAATAGTATTATCGTTTGGTATTATATTTCAATATTTATTTATAAAAAGGTACATTAAACCAAACGATTAATTTAATTCAGTAATTGTAATGAAATAATTTAATATGCAAAAAATACTAATTAAAAAATTTTTGTTTGTTAATGAAAAATAAAAATTAAGCGCAAATTAAAAATAAATAAAATATTTTTAAAGAAACAATCAAAAATGGGGAAAAAAAAATTGAGAAAGATAAAAATAAATAAAGATTAAAGCTAACAAAGAGATTACAAAAAGTTAGAAATAAAATAAGAAGAAAAAATTAAAAAAAACTAAAAATTTAATAAAAAAAATTTATATTTTTTAAATATTTTAAATAATAACGATTTCCTATTTTGAATAGAATTATTTTTTTGATACTTTTCATTTTTTTGGGACTTTTCCTTTTAATGATTGGATCTTTTATTGATCCTTCCTTTTTTTATTTGAACCTTTCCCTTTTGTGTTTGATACTTTTCCTTTTTGATCGGACTCTTTCCTAAGCCTTTGGGACTTTTCCTTTTTTGATTGACCTAATACTTTTTTAATCGGATCTTTTTTAAACGGGAAAACCTGTAAATCAAAAGTTATCAAATATTTTATGTTTAATATTAAAAAGAATGGTTACTTAAGATCTCGTGGGGTAGAAGGCGGGGGGGGGGGGGTTGATTAATTTATTTGATAAATATATTTGTCACTCAACAAAAATAACTACAAATACAAATTAATTTTTGGTTATAATTTTATTATAAGAATATAATTTAACTTTCCCTAGGCAAAACATTAAATTGTATTGGGGGAATAGGTTTGAACTTTGGAATACCCCCCTCATTTAGACGTTGTAAGGTTTATGAATCAAGAAAACGTAATATTATTTTCATATGATATTTTTTCATATCCATCAACCATATGCGAATTAAGTGATATTTGCTTTACAAAAATTTAAAAGGTGTTTGATATTTGATTCTCATATCGATACTGAAGGCTAGTTTTGCTATTAACCTTTTGGTAATGTTTGCCATAGGTTATTACGAAGAAATCCGCTTTGATTCCAAAATCAAATTCATGATGACTTAGATCATGACTTTTTAAAATTCTTATTGAAAGTTCATACTGCACCATCAGGAAAATAGCATTTTTGATAAATGAAATTTCGATTTAAAAACACCTAACATTTATGTTTAAAATAAATTTAAAAAATTTTGGTCTTAAATCTGCAAATTTATTTAAGGAACTTTAATATCAATGTGAGTTTCTTTAAAATTCGAATTTAATTCATTAAGATTACGTATAATGAGATTTTTGTTCAATTGGCACTTCTTTTCGTTAACCTTTATTAATATAAAATAGTTTTTATCAGACATTATACAACTGTTTTTAGGAATCAGAGACCTGCAGGCCCAGTCCTAAGCCCGGACTGGGTGCACGGACCGGATTTTTTATAAATATACCCGAGGGGGGCCTGAAATTTTTTTAAAATACCCGAGCCGGTATACCAGGCCCGGGCCTTATATTTTAAATCGCCATTATTAGCTATAAAATTTAAAAATAAATATATTATATTTTTAAAAATCCGAGCCAGGCCTGAAAATATAAAACTTGGACTGTGTGGGTTGAAAAATTTGTTTTTAAAAAAAATCCGGGCCCGGCTTTTTAAATGGTACCTCTACAGGTCTGGGATAGGAATTATAAAATTTTTCGATTAATCTAGGAAAACATTCCTAGGAAAAATGCTAATTTGATTTTATAAATTTACTATTTTCTATTTCCGGTTTTTGACATTCAAATTTGTATAAACAATATTTAACATTATAACTTTAGAAGCTTACCATTATGTTATAAAAATATAAATGACGTTTCTAGCTCATTTATAGATAGATATCTAAAATTAAAAGGAGTGTTTATCCAACAAACCCTTTGAACCTTTAGAGGCCCGTATCTCAGTTAAGTACATACCTGGGGGCTAAAAAAATATTTATTTATAATATATGCAAACTCTATTAAGAATTTTATAGAAATCTGAGAGGTTTGGGTTGAAACTCATGTTGATTTGTCATTGATTTGACCAATAATATCTAGCGAATACTATTTATATCTTTTTTATAGATTTGAAATAAATTGTATAAATTAATGTATCATATTTTATTTAGATTATTCAAGGTTAAAGAACAAAATTTCTCTCTTAGATTTGTATTGTAATTCTAATGTTAATGGTATTGATATCAAAACAATTATAACTAATCCGTCAATATTTGATCATTTAAATAAAAAGAATAAAACCTTCTTTCAAAATAATGGTATTATAATATCAGGAAAATTATTACCAAATTATCAAGAATATAAAGGATTTCTAGTCTCAATGGTGCCTTCTTCATTTCATAAAAAAAAGAGAATCATATTTGATACTTTTTTAGGCATCCCAATTCAAGGGAACAGCAATCATTATCCTCTTTTTGGTATGGAAATAATTCGTTATCAGGATATTTACGCTAATTTAAAACCCATTGTTAAACCATATGGAAATAATTATATAAATTTTGATGAAAATTTGAAAGATCATTTGTATTTAAAATTGTATTTTACTTTAATTTTGATTGAAGATAAAATAACCAAAGAAAATCAGAATAATGATAAAATTACTTTTCTATTTTATATAAAAACACCTCAAAATGTTATGGGAATTAGGGGAAATAACCAACTTCATCATCGTTCAAATATTATATGCGGGCCAATAAATAAAAATGTAGAATCTGAAATTGATCATTTTAATGTTAAAATAAAATGGTTAACTCAAACCAACCAAGATAAATATGTAAGAATGCTTGTGATTGAACTATATTGGAACTGCATATCGATTGATAAAATTTATTATGATTTTCACAATTATCCAAAAAGTACTATAAACAAGCCAATCTATTTTCTATCGTTTAATATTCACAATACTACAAAAATATATGTGGGAGACTATGAAACAGCATTGTCAAATAGAAATCAATTTTCGGTATACATTTTTTACTAACTATATTATGCAGTTAACATCTATTAGGGTTATATATTGGATTTGGATCTGGAAGGCTTTAGAAACAATCATCCAAAGTGCGATATAAACATGGATAAAAGACGACCAGACATACTTAATAGAATAAAAAGAGTATAGATAAATTATGAATATAATCAATGTGTCTGTAATTAAATTTAATTTTTTTCTTCCAATATTTATTTAAAGTGAAAATAAATTTTAATAAATAAGGAATCAGTCTTTAGATTGATTCTTATATAATTATTATTAAGAATTAATTTATTGTAATATAATTTATTAAAATTCAATCTTTTTCTTTTTGAAAGGTGGTCATAAAGGGTTTTAATATATTTAGATGGCCCTGAAGGGCAATAAAAATAGTAATTTTAATGGGCCAAATAATTTTTTTTATTAAGCTAATATGTAAAAATTTATTTTTAGTTATAAATATAACTATGCCTTGTTGTGTATATACTTCGATATGATATTATTTATTTGATGATATATATTTATGTCTTCTCTTTTGAATATAAAAATAGCAAAATGACGAAGAAACATCATCTCCTCAAGAATCGATCGATGAATCAGATGGGTCTAATGACAGTAATAATTATATAAAAATTTTAAATGATATATATATTATTTAACTATATAATGATAAAACTTTAACGATAAATATAAATATTATAACAATGTATTAAGCCTCTTCTGCATTTCTTTATCAATCTCTATCATCGGAGCTTATGATTGCTACAGAATTTCCTTTAATAGGATGTAAATATTTATAAACACATTTTTTAACATTAGTTTATAGTAATATAAAATTAATTTTAATAAACAACGTTGATTATAGTCTATATCTATCAGAATTGTTAAACGGTATATCTAGATATACAAACATTTTATATGTATCTTATCTAGCTATATTTTTATAAAAGATCTAATATCTAAGATACATTTTTACTCTATATCAAATAAAATATATTTTAAAACAAATATGGGAGCCAGGCGCTTAGTCTAAATAAAAAGCTTAGCAAAGCCCTAAGGATTAAAGAGAGGGGGAAAGAACGCATTTATTTGACAGCGTACTATAATTCAGATTATAAGATATAATTTTAAATGCTTCATGGGGTTCCTTTCCTGACTAGACGGGATGAAAACCTTTCCCCCATCTTTTCGTAGCTCATAATCATTTCTTTTTTTCCTTTTTCAAATAAAGAAATGTATGTATTACCTTTCTCTTGTCCTTTTTAATATTAGATATTTTGATATAATTATAAATATTATAATTGATTTTTATAAATACAATATATCATGTTCTCAAAAAATTATTTGCATGCTAATTTTTAGAGTTGTAAACGAACGCGCGTTTTTTTTGAAAAAAATAATGAACGGCGTTCCTTTTATTTTTTACAAACGCGTTCGAATTTAACGTTCGTACAATTTACAAAACACTTTTTATTTTTATTTATTTGAAAAATTTAATATCCGAATTTTTTAAGAAAATAGTCCTATATTTTTTCAGCTGTTCTTTTTTCATATTTCAATTTTTAATAAGAGCTAAATTCTTTTAAATTAAATTTTCCTTTACTATAACTTTTTTTCAAATCTTTATTCCAAACCAAATAAAATTCTTTCTAACGTCACCTGAATCTTTATAAAGTCTTCTTGATTCAAGTTAGTATAATGAAATGGAGAACAAATTAACAGGCAGGTTACAAATTGCGTTCCTTAATATAAATGGAATGAAAAACAAATTAGCAGATCTCTTAAGGTTAGATAAAGTAGATATCATAGGTAATCAAGAAGCCCACTCTCCAGGGAATAACACTGCAAACTTTAATGATTATAAAATATTTTGCTTGGGTAGCACAATCTGGTCGAATAGCCTTCCCTAATAAATAAACTAATACATAAATTCACCATCAAATTCGTACCCATATCTGAAAAATGTGATCTTCTCTATTTAAGCACGAATTTTAGACCCAAAATAATAGGAAATTTTTATGCCCCATTAATTAGAAATGAAAGATTAGGCTCCATCGACATAATAAATATGATTCACTTCCTATCGTGCAGATATAATATAATAGTTCAAGGCGATCTAAACTTGAAAATTGGTAAAGAAGCAGAATATGTTAGCAGTAATATCATCGGATATTCTTCCATACAACAACCGAATAGCTAGGATAGCAAGAAACATCTTGATTTCTACAGAAACAAGAACTTTAAAATCGAAAATATCTTTTCACCGAAAAATAAACACATACACCTTCGTGAGGGCTCGGCAGATATCCCAAATTGATTTCTTCATCTCTAATATTCACTAGTAGTTTGACGGCGTTAAAACATCAACTAATATAAACCTGCAGGATCATAGAATGCTTATAGCTAATCCGTAAGGAATAAATGGGGCTATTATAACAGAATTAGACAAAACTCGACTGTACTTAGTACAATTCATTTGAAAACAACTTTACACGTAAACTCAGTAAATTACAAACGCCGAAAGATTTAATAATTTTTGTTTAAGCATTAAATTGGAAAAGAGCTAACTTCTAAAACATAACTATGCACGGAAACCTAGAATGCTGGAAACTATTTTAAAATGATCTTGCAGAATCATATGATGGTTTACAAAATGTAAGTAATTTATCAAGGAAAGAATTGATGTCTAGTGAGACATTAGAAAAAATAAATCAACTAAGAATGAAGAAGTGCTCGAATAAAGACTTATGGAAAACATACAGAGATTATTGCGGAGTGATAGACAGATTTACATATTAAAAAAAGCCATTGATATCGATAAAGATATGAAATTAGGATTTATGACGCCAATAAAAAATTAAAATATTCCTGTAAACCTTGGCAGTTTAGAAAACACCCCTCTATAGTTTTAGGAAACAGAAAAGCAATCATTGACCAGGATGTAATTTCCCTCAAAGACCCACAAAAATTTACTTATTACCGAACCGTAGCCCTACATCCTGTCTCAAAGATTTTTATGGCCCTCTTAAAAAATAAATCATATCATCCACACTTCATCTTTTCCCCAAATACATATGTGCGTACAGACCAAACAAAAACATAGTAGAGCCAATATTAACCCTGAAAATAATTATGCATTGTTGCAAATACAAATACCCTCCTACTTCACATTCGTGTATTTTAGTAGATCTTTGGATAATATTAATCATGAAGCTCTATGCGAAACGGTTAGAGCGCATTTTTACAATCAAATGCCGTATTAACTGCCAAGCGTTCCTATCTATCAGATGAAAATTTTGAAAAACAATTGTTATTAAAATATAAAAGAAATTTTTTATAAATAAAATTATCTTTTTATTCGCTATATTATATTGCATTTATAATTATATTATCAAAATAAAACTATATTATTTTTTAACAAGGCTAATATACTGTGTTAAAAAATATAAGACATTTATTTTTATTAAATTTATTTTTAAAAACATTTTATTATAAAAATTTTGAACGAATGCCATTACCAAAAGATTTTTTTTTTAAATATTTTATTGGCCTCTTATTTTGTAAATTGAAATCGTTTTTAAATAAAAAAAAATTTTCATTTTTATTTTATAAATTAATATCGATTTCAAATTTTCTTTGGTAACATATTTATCTACCATTTTAAAATTTCCTACCAAATCATTTTAGATTTTTCACTATATAGCAACAATAACATATTCAAAAAATTATAATTTAATGTTTAAAATTTATTTAAAGAATGGATATAACGATTTTTATAATTAGTATTTATAAGAATCCGAATTCTATTAACAAAAATATACAGAAGACAATTTTTATTTTTACTCATAGTAATTAACTTAAATTCCTTGTCCAACACATAGAAAAAATTACAGAAAGCGTGTCCAATTTGATGGAGCCTTCTTCATCAAGCAGTAAGGGCTTTTATGGCGTTAGAAAAACATATTATAAATGCTCTTTCTGAAATAGTAAATAGCCTGAAAAAGTCATTTCTCAAGAAATAGATTATTGGACATAATGCTAAACAAATTTTTTGTTACATTAGAATATATTAATAAATTATTTAATTACATGAGTATTTATGTAAATGACGAATTTCATAAATTATGTTATAGTTGAGTATACAGAGCTCTATGGATTTAATATTTATCGGCTTCAATTAGCAGTAAGTTAAGCTCATCACTCTAATATTAATAGAAGAATACTATAAAATAAATCGCTTTATCTCCCTCATGGATACATTTATAACAATTTAAATGAATGAAAGGTTCTTGATTTAAATATTTGGCAGATTTTTATTGTGAGGATGTTAATTACTAGCTGAATGCAAGCAATGGCATAAATCTTAACCATGGTTGTTAATTTTCCAAAATATACTATTTCCTAATATATTAAAATTACATTCCACCTAGGAGTACTTTTCCAATAAAAGAATATTTTCTTCTTAAGAAGAATCAAAACATACCTGAGAAGTGCTACACCTCTGAAAATAAATTGAATGGGTTAGCCCTTCTTAATATACATTGTGAATTGACAACACACTGATAAATTATTAAAAATTAGATCAAACCAAAAGAAGATTGAATTTCACATTATAAATTTATAATAAGCTTCTTAATTATATTTTTTGTGCAATTCTATTACCATATTTTTTTCATGATTACTTTGTAAGTTTATTTATATAATTCTTAAGAATTTGTATATTAATCTATATTTATAACATTTAATATTTTTAAATATAATTTAAATATCAAATTTTATATGCTTTAAAAATTTATAATTTTTTCACAAAGTTCTTTTTCGAGTCATTTATTAGATACTGATTCATACGCATTTAATATTTTATCATTAATTTATATTTGAATATGTGTATTCGAAGTTGTCAACATTTTCTAGTCACTAGTTCTAATAAATTTTTGAAATTTTATTCTTATATAACCATAATAATTTTAATTATCACCACCCCAGATATCGAATTCATGCGTCGCCCGATATATTCAATGCTGTTAATTAACATTACTTTAAAAAAGTAGTACATAGCTACAACTACGTTAGTCTACTGATTAGCCATTTCCTCAAAAAAATAGAACGCTACAACTACTATTTTTATAATGTAGCATCGGTACTTATGTGGCTACTTAAAAAATTATGACATTTTTTTTATTAAGAGGTGATATATATAATATAGCCATCCCAATTATATATTTTATTTAATAATCTATATTAAAATTTAATAATCTATATTAAAATTTAAAATATCAATTCTAAACAAAATAAAAGAATTTCGTAATAATATATCGATTTTTAATTAATTTTTTATAAATTTTAAGGGAAGACGTCTCACAAAGTTTTTCTTTTTATCTAGCAAAGAATCTTGTTTTCCCAAACATCTTCCACCAAATAAATTTAAAAGGGAGAATTGGATAAAATAAGAAATGTAAATTAAATCTTATTTATGACTAAAAATAAATACATTTCGATATCTTTTAATATATAAATAAACGCAAGAAAGAAACTAAAGAATTTGAGCAAATTAAATTTTTTAAAATACACCCATTTTATTTAATCAAATTATCAATAAATAATTTAAATTAATTATACTCATCATTTTAACTTATTAAATCTAAGATATTAATAAGACTGGAAATTTTGAAACAAATTTATAAATTCTTATTGATTCGCATATGTTATCACATTCAAAAATAATTCAAAAAAATATTAAAGTATCTTTATTATATTACCATAGAAGGAAATTATCTCGTCGACGATTGCGAGATATTCCTTGATAATTCTGAATTGTTTGAAGAATATACACAAACCCATAATTTTTTTTTATAGTAGTTATTAAGTAGTGCATTTTAGCTTATTTGGAAAAAAAATAGCGACTACTTAGTGCCACTCAAAAAAAATGTAGCGTTGCTACTGTAGCGCGTTGCTTCTAATAGCCATTAACAGTATTGTACATGTTAGCGTTATAAATATAATTTATTTATAAATGTAAATTTTAGGCGATGTCCAAAATTTTGAAAAAATTCTAAAATTTATCTTTTAGGATATAGAAATTTACAAAAACACACAAAAACTTATATATTTCTATAATTTATCATGTTTGATGATTTTTTTAAACTTTTATTTTCATATTTTTGTTATATAGTGGTGATATAAATGTGTATATAAATTTAAAAAAATATATACATAAAACCTTTGGCTCTGCTGCGCTCACTCTCTCACTCTGTTCCATACGACGCTTTGGACGCCTTAAAATAAACATTAACGTTTGGATTAGTGTTGAGGGAAAAATGTTCAATTAATAAATATTACCTACGCCTCTTTATTTTGGATATAGATTGGAGAAATAGTTGCTTTAACTATAATTAAAGTGGAGGCTATTTTGGCAGAAATCGGGATATTTTTTTAAAAAATTACAGTTTTGTAACCTATTAGTACTTTAGGCGCATACGATAAATTTTTTAAATATTAATATAATTCAGGCTTAAACTGGAGGGGTTATTAAATTATTAATACAAAAATAATATTTAGAGAAATATTTAGGTAAAATTGTATAATTTTTTGCTGTATTTATTTTCTAGTATGTTTATAAAAATATAAGGGATGAGGGCGGGGGGGGGGGGGGGTGTATGAGAATATTTTCTAATAATTTTGCCTAGATGAGAAAGTGCATGTAATAAAATTTGTTCACTTTATAGCGCTATATCCAGTGAGTCGTACTCTGTGTAAAATAGAGGAGCGCGGTGAAACGAACGCGAGTCTTTTAAAAATGTAAACCAGCAAATAAAAAAATTGTATAAATTACAGTTAATCCAAGTTTAATTTAGGTTAAAATGTAAATTTATTAGGGTATATCATATTGGTAAAAAAATTAAATCATTTTTGATTTACTTAATTGTATATCCTCATTAGCTAATTAATAATGTTTGAGGAAAGATATATATATGCTCTATGTGCTGGAAGTTAGCAAAAAATGAAGGAGAGGGGATTGAGTAAAAATGTTTACTAAAATGATTATTAATAAGTAAAATGTTAAAGCCAATGGTAGAATTTACCCCTCCTCACATAATAGACTTATTCGAAAAGCAGATATGTATAGATATAACGAGTAAATATAGTATGGGGTAAACTATATATAGAATAAGAATTTCTTATATAAATATGGGATATTAAAATTACAGCATAAATTATATAAGGATGGAAGGTATTATTTGGTATTTGTTCATTTATGTAATGCAATAGTACTAAAGCAACAGGCCATTAATTCGTTGCCAAAGATTATTTTCGTCAATGTAATAAAAAATTTAATTATAAAAATAAAAAAGTTATGCATGGGTAAATATAAAAAATAATAATAACGTAAGTTATAAGCATTAAATGACTATTAAATATTTCCTGATCTAATTTTTTCCATCCTTTTAATGATTGTGCGCTTCTTTGCTCTATATCAATATATTTATTTATATATGGTGAATTCCATGACAAATCAACATAAGTTTCAACCCGACCCCCTCTGATTTTTCAAATTTTATACTAGAGTTTGTATATATTCTAAATAATAAAAAAAAAATTTAACCTCTAACTCTAAACAGCGGCTGAGATCCGGGTCTATAAAGGTAGAAAAAAATGTGGAATTTCTGACAATGCTCTATTATATATATATATATATATATATAATTGGATATAATTGAGCTAGAAGTGTAATTTAAATCTCTTTATATAGCCTTTAAAGATTATAAAAATGACAAAAACCGGAAACGGTCATAATCCGCATTTTTTTCTCTCAAATTTTTTTATATATTTTTATTGGATTAATTAATAATGTAAAATTTTAATTGAGGGCCGGGCAACAGATTTTAGAGATATGCTATTCATTATTTAATTATAAAAATTTGTAATAAATATTTGATAAATCATTAATAAATTTCCGATTTTATTCTTTTTTTAAAACAGTAGATTCAATTAATTCAAAGTTGTGAAGGCCTAAGAAATGTACTTCCTTGGATGATTAACATGAATAAATCATTAATAATTGACAGTAAAATTTGCGACTTAAAAAATTACATGCTCCAACTATAATCATATTTCCTTCAAAATTTAATTTCACTAGGATTATATTATTGGTCACCCTTGAACATCTAAATGCCTCATTTCTATTAATGGGCGAGACATTAAATATGAAAATTGAGCGAAAAAAGATATCTTATCAAAAAAAATTGAAAATTTAAGAAATAAATAAGAAAGTTTTGATAATTTCTTCAGACTATAATTTTAATATTAACGATGAATGTGAAATCACTAAGCAATTTAAAAATAAATTAGAAATATAAAAATTTAGATATTGACAGATTTACCACATTCTTGGACCCTAAAAACAGAAAGAATTTTCTACAATTAAATTCATGGCAAAGATGGCAAAAAACTGGTCAATGAAAAGTTTGTTTGACCAAATCCATGTATTATAAGGGCTGGGAATATTTATCCATAGATTTTATTGGAAAATTTTATAATTTCGATATAAAGAGTCGTATAATGCCTGGTAAAATTCTTTTTATATCAATAAAGGTTAAAAAAGAGAATCAATTGAAACTTATGCAATCATAAGGAATTATATTTTAATAAAGAAACTCATATTGATATGTGCTTTAGTAATTAGAGGATTTAAGACCAATATTTTAATATTTATTTCAAACTAAAATAATTTTCCCTAATTCAAAATTTATCAAAAATATATTTTTTTCTGAAATGAAATTCCCATCATTCTACCTTTAATTCAAAGATATTTACAAGTAAATGGAGTAAGTTTTTCCCAAAATACCTCATTTTTGGGTATTTAGAAGCCCATATCTCACCCATTGTTTGGAATTGGGAGTTAAAATTTTATTTTTTTCTTAGTTATAATTTATATAAACTCTTGTAAAGATTTTAGAAAAATTTGAGTGGAACGGGTTATGAATCAGGTTTTTTGTTGATTTTTCATGGAATTCACTATATAGATAAAAAATGAAAGATAAAAGAGTTGATAATTTAAGTATAGTATGTTATGATTATTTTTGGCTGACGAGCCTCTAGAAATTGTGATGGGTAAGAGGGAGTAAGCGAAAAAGGAACAAGAGGATAATTAATATATATATTATTTAAAAAAATCTTGGTTGGGTTGTAAAATAAGCAAAAATCTTAGGAAAATTTTGTTAAGAAAGCATTTTAAAAAAGTTAATTTCAAATGAATATCAAAAATTCATGGAAAACATAAGAGCCTCCAAAAAAGGGGCTGTTTTAAAACAAAATATATAGATTTATATTTTGGAAGTAGGAGAAAACAAAAATATGAGTTAAAATTAAAAAAAATTCTGTTCTCGATAAGAATGATATTCTTCTATTTACAATTACCCTTTTCTCTTTGAGTAATTTCTAAAATACAGACAAAATTAATAAAAATAAATAAATTTTACAAATTCAACGGCCATAAGAATGAGAGAATTGCACATGTTTTCAATTTCCCTTTGAAATAATGTGCATAAATATAAGCCAATTTATTCAAAATATTGCATAAATATAAATCAATTTATTCAAAATAACAATAAATTTATATCATTATGTTGAAAATTCAGCCAGACAGTGTCTAAGGGGGGTGGGTTAAGACCCGTTTGCATCCAATTTATTTTGATGGGAATGATAGGCGCCTTTAAAGGGGGTAGGATAAATTTTTATCTATTAAATTTTTATATGAAGTGGGACAAAATATATTGCTGTAAAAATTAATACATTTATTATAGACCTATTAAAATACAATGATATTGTTAATCATCGACCAAATTTATATATTACATACAATCATAAACATTATTTTCCAAATAAAACTTTCATATATCCTTTTATGTAATTTAAAAGGGTTAGACATTCTCAGCAAACTCATGTTCATGCCAAACAATATATCATAATAATGTATTCATTGTAAATGAGGGGGTTTTAAATTGAATTCATTATCTATAAAATAACTCATTTCTATTCACAATATTTGATAGTTGGTAGTAGAGCTAAAATATTTAAATGATTCAATGGGTGTACCATTATAATTAAAAAAATGAAATTAATAGTGGGAATAACGCGGCCGGTGGTAGGCATAAGATTTAGAAGGGGGTTTTCATTCAGTGAAAATCCTGACATGTAGACGCTGGCGCCAGGAGTGAAAGTTATAGTTTTAAGTCTAAAAATGTTCCAAAAAGAGGCAGGAATTGAAAAGTAAATTTTTTTCCGGACCGATTAAAAAAATTTGTAGGTTATGTAGGGGTAGGAAAATTGTCCTTTTTTATTTTCTAAATTGATTAGGTCTAGAAAAATTTTTTTCAGGTGGGTTTGGTTAAAAATTATTTTGCTTAAATTTAGAAATTAATCTGTTATGAATAAATTATTTTACAAGGTTCTCAATAAGTATAATAGAATAAAATTTATAAGAATAAATACTTGAATAATGCATGAAAAAATGATTTTTCGATATAAAATGAATTGGTGGTGCAAATCATTTTATAGAAATATTATAAGAAACCAAAATATTCATTTTAAAAAATCCCAAAAAACCTTTAATAATCGAATAGATGTGAGGGGGGGGGAAAGGAGGTAGACAGTTTAAAATATATAGATATAAGTAGCGCAAACAACTACATTTTAATATTTTTTTAAATAAATTTCTTCCAACGATGGAAGCTGGAAGATAAGCTGAATATATCAAACTTTTGAAAATTTATTTCGGCATATGCAAACGATTTAAGTTAAAAAAGAAGAAGACATAAATTTGAATATTTTTTAAATTTATTAGTAAATAATTTCACCCTCAATTAATCGTCTCACAATTAAGGATAAATAAAATGATTACTCATAAACTTCCTCTTCTTTATAAATATTGCATTAATCAATCATAAGGAAGAAAATAAGCTTATTATTCAATTCAGCGACTTCAACAAGCCTTTCCTTTTTTTGTGCCAAATGTTGATTTGAGGGGAGGATAAGATTTTTGAGGGGGTAATTCCCACCTTTAATGATGATAACGTCATCACAAATATCTACACCCCCCACTTCCCCCTTTCAATCCCTCCGCAGAAGTTCCTGATTTAATTACAATATCACCAAAATATTAATTTTAACATTTTATCATACCATAAATTACAATACATTTTATATATAATAATATAAATTTAACTTTTGCTCTAAATTCATTTCCTAATTCTATAACTGATTTTGCTTGTCCTTATCTCCAATTAATAAACTAAATGATAAATAAAAATGATTTAATCTTTAAAAAGATTTAATTTCTTTTTATAACTTAAATCATAAAGTATAATTTTATATATACTTTACATGATGTAAAAAGAGCTCCTTCCTGATCAGAATAATATCCTCAAACTCATCCTTGGATTTAATTGGTTGAGTTTAATAATATTAATTTGATATGTTAGATGATAATATAATAAGAGTCTTTATCAATTAAAGATTTAAATTATCATAAAGAATTTAATTAATATTTTATAAATTATTAAATCAATAATAAAATTTTACATACGTTTCACACGTGATATAGTAAAAGCTCCTTCCTAATAACTACTGTTGTTAAACGGCTCGATTTAGGCCGATTTTTAAAAACGGCTAACTTAATGTTTAATTCATAAAAATATTATTCAAGGCTAAAGATTTTGCTCACAGTTCACACAAAGGTTGGACACCTATTAGCGAAATTTCGAGGCTTAGAAAATATTTTCTGGCTATATTATTGAGTTAGCAGTTTTTAAAAATCGCTCAAATCGAACCGTTTAACAATACTACTAATATCTAATAATCTCTGTCATCATGGGATATAATTGGTTGCTTGAGAACAATATTTATTTGATATGTCATATGATACAGGGTTTCCCATTCAAAATAAGTCCAAATCAAAAAAGGAAAAATATCAATCAAAAGGAAGGTCCGGTCAAAAAAAAGTATCAATCAAATAAGTAAAATAAGAAAAGGTTAGATCAAAAAAAAAAGTGTCTATCTAAGAAAGTGTTGATCAAAAAAAGAAAGTGTCAATCAAAAAGCAAAAGTGTCAAATAAAATAGAAAATGTACAATCAAATTTGGGATTCCAAATATATAAGGTTATTTTACATACAATTTCATTAAAATTAAAACTTCTGAAAGTTTAAAAACAATTTGCTTAAGAAAATAAAGTACGCAAAAATAAACGAATAAATAAATGATTTAAAATAATAACCGTTAAATTTAAAATTATTACATAAGTGATTTATCGATCAATTAAATATTTTAAAAATATTATTTAGAATAATAATACTTAACAAATAAATATACGCATATAAAACAAAAATGAAGATTCTCGAAAGCTAGAAGGCTCTTGTATGGCCCTAGCTATTTTTGTCATCTTTCGAATTGATAATAAAGTAATTTTATATATTTTTTAAAAAAATCGAGAATATTATTGAGGCTCAAAATTTTATTTTTAAAAAAATTAATTTATTATTGAAATTTACAAAATCGAGTTTGGACGCATAATGTGTTAAGAATCATTTATTTTTTAAAAAAAGATTTTTGACTTTAGATATGCTCTATAAATAAAAATCAAGAATATATTATGAATTTAAATAATAATATTTTCTATTAAAATTTACTGGGGAAACGTGGATACGTTCCATCTAGGATAAAGATATTTATTTTATAATACTCTTCTACTGACCATATATTAATGTATGGACGATGAGTTTACCTTGCTGCAAGTTGAGGGAGACAAATATTATAACGTATAGCTCTGCTTTTGACTCAACAATAACATATAAAATATGAAATCTTCATCAACATTAGCCCTTATTTCCTTGAGTTCTAATAAAATGCTCCCCGCTAATCTCATCTTCATCAAGTCAATGTCATGTTTTTAAAAAGTAATACATAAAATAGTTGTATAATTAAATAATACATTCTAATGAGGAAAAAAATTTTAAATAAGCATTGAATCCATTGCTTCTGAGGAAATATTTATTTCAGGCCATTGTGATATTTCAGTAATAGCAAATAATTGGCTCTTCTAACTCCATAAAAGCTGTTACTGCTTGATGGCGGAGACTCTATCTCGTTGGGCAAGGTTGCAATTTTTTTTTCCCTGTTAGACAAGAAGTTTCAGAAATAATTATTATTTGACTAGAAATTTAAAATGGTAGATAAATATTATACAACTAAAAATTTGAAAATAATAGGTAAATATTACACTAAAAACTTGAAATCGAAATTAATTGATAAAATAAATGAATGTGATAACTTATGAATGTGATAATAAATGTAATTAAATATATATTTAATATGAGATAGGAATAAATATTAAGAAATATAAATTAATATAAACAATAATATTTTTGAAAAATATATCCGGCATCTGCATTTTTTAGCATTAGGGGGGGGGGGGGGTATTTGTCCCCCTGCCACCTTCCCTGCTTACGCGCCTGTTCTATGTATTTGATAAGCATTGGAAAATTCAAAATCAATACTAAAAATGTAGGGGAGATGCAGCGTCTACATGATCGGGAGGGGTAGGAACAGTTTGCATCCTATTTTTTTGAGGGGGTAGGGGGTAAGCTGCTAATGGGGGTAGGATAAAAAATTTTTTTGGGGGGGGGGGGTTATCTATTAAATTTTGAGATGAAATAAGACAAAATTTATTAAAAATTAATACTTTTATTATAGTATTATTATAATACAATTCATCGACCAAATCTATATATTGCAAACAATCATACACATTGTTTTCCAAATAAACTATCCTTTTAAATATAATTTAAAAGGTTTAGATATTTCAGCAAGCTCATAATGCCATAATAATTAATTCATTGTAAATAATGGAGGTTTTAATTAAATTTATTATCTAAAAAATAAATTCTTTATATTCACAAAATATCGATAGTTGGTAGTAGAGATAGATTAATTTAAGTTATCCTTTATAAATTATTTGAAAAGAGTATCAATAAATAAATAGGTAAAATTAATGATAAAGAGACATCGCCGCCGGAGGTGGCGGGGATTTTTTAGGGGGATAGGCAAATGTTTTTGAAGGGGGTTTGCATCTAGTGAAGATCCTGTCATGTAGAAGCTGGGGAGATGTAACATAAACGGCCATGTTTGAAGAATGACCCCCACTTTTAACATTTTATCTATTGGATCAATTTCTCTTAATGTTGGTGAAGATGTATATATTTATGATATTTACCTTACTTACGTTTATTTAATGAATGGAGCAATCCAATAAAAAAATATTTTAAGTAAACTGTTTTGGTACCTCATTCTAAAAAAATAATGCTATGCACTTTTTTGGTCAAAATTACTAATTTAAATTACTGATATTTAATATAAATTTAAACTTACAAGTTTTATTTAATATACATATAAAGATATTTAATGACAATTGACTGTGAGTATTGTCTGGACATGTATTGGTTAGCCAGAATTCATTCATTCATATTGAAATGAAAAGTTTGCTTAAGGATGAAAATGATGATCAATAAATTCAATTGACAATTGATGATATAATCATTATTAAATTTGATATTCCTAGAACTTTAAGAAGGACAAAGCAAAAATTCAGAGACTTTGAAATATCCCCATATGGAATTTAATTCAAATAGAAATAGATTAATATTCACCAACCCACAGGAGTAAATTTTAAAAGATTATATAACACAAGCTAACAAATCATTTAATATTGTTAAAACTTATAAAGTTAAAGTATTTTTTAATGATATTTATTATATATTTGAATTATCTGTTAGATTATTAATTAATATAAATATAATAATTATATAAAATGGAGTATTTTTTTACTGATATTAATTATATATTAGAATTACCTATTAAATAATTAGTTATCATAGATCTAATAATTATATAAAATGGAGTATTTTTTTACAATCATTTATTTTTAGATAAGCATATTTGCCCATGATTTAACAAAAAATATGAGTTATAGTTTACTAAATCTACAGAAGAAATAATGAGTTACTCTGCATTATATGCAAAAAGGAATATTCAAAGAGAGAGAAGAGTGTTTATTGCATTCACTATGAAGAAGGGGCTGTTCTACCAAGAATTATTTGTTTGTTTGTTATTTATGTAAATAAATATATTATAATTTTCTCATTTATAAATTAATAAAATACTTTCATTGTTGTTGTATTTATAATAATTGTCTAATTAAGTTTGTTAAGCATCATTAGTTTTTTAAATTGATGAATGTCTAAATTATTGAAATAAGCATTTTAACATGTAGTTAATTAAGATAATAATTTATAAAATATTATCATTAAATATAGGAGTCTGTTGATAACTTAAGATGTTGATATTAAATATCTATCCACTTAATTTTTTAAATACTTAAAAAATGAAGAAATATTTACATAGTTTATTTTACAAATATTTTATATTGTAATTTTTAATATTATTAATATAAATTTTAAATAATATTTTAGCCAGTTAACACATACCATGTTTTAAATGGCCAGGAAAACAACTTTCACATAACCTCATTTAGTTAATAACTTTTATAGAGAGAGCATTGATTCAAAATTTATTTTAAAGATTAAGAATTGGGCTACACATTGAGAAACCCAATTCTTAATCCTATTTTTGAATAAAACAATATGGTCAGTCATACCACATCTCGCCTATTATTTCGTAACAAATATAGATAAAAATAAATTAAAAAATAGACAATAAAATAATTATTAATAATTTGTGTTGTTATAAACCCTGAATAAAGCAGCATCTAAAACATTATTTTAATTCTTTTTTAAAAAATATAATATCGTAATCGTACCAGTTCAATTTACAGGAAATTGCAAAAAATAAATAATAAGAAAATATTGATGATAGATATAAATGTTACATGGTCTGTTGCAACGTGACATAACTATTCATTTATTTATTATAAAAGCTATAATTAATTATAGTATTATATGTTCTATCATGATAAAGGATATAGGCTATGTTAGAGGCACAAAGGCGTATTTTCTAATGCCCTCAGTCAAAATTAAAAAAATAGGAGTTGAATTAATAATATCCAATATCATGATTTCAAGACAATATATTTTAATAAATATTCTTTCAAATTAAAATAATTTTAGAAATACAAATTTATATAGGAAAAGGTTATTACAAAACAAAACCTTTGTAAATTTTATTTATTTTGCCCTTTATCAATGTTTTTTTAAACACTACCTAAACTTTGTTCCGGCATTCCCTGTGTTGTGTTTCACCGTGATCTCTCAAATTTGCTTTTTTGAACCGAATTTTCTTTACTTAAAAATATAAGTTAAAAATAATATTTTATTATTAATTGGGCTTAAATATGTAAAATTTAAAAATGAAACATAAACTAATTGAATTTTTTTTCCATCTCAATAAATTAAAATTACATCAGTTGCACTTTCTAAATTTACTTTATTTAAACATAATTTTTTAATTTTATAAAATGGTGCAATGTAAAGTCAAAAAAAAGTTAAAAAATATTGATTTTTAAATTTAATAAAAATAAAGTAAATATTTTATATAAAACAATTTCAAAAAGAAAGTTTCCCATATTACGCTCTAAACTAGGGGTCAGTATGAGATAAAAAATTATCAAAGTAAGCGTAAGAATAAATAAAATACACAGTTTTGATATAATTTCAATTACAAATATATTATTTGGACTTATCTTAATGCGCTCCCAAATTGAGAGCTTAAATTTGGGAAGGGGCTCAAACTAGGAAAAATTTGTTAAATCATATGATTTTTCTAAATTCCTCTACGCTCATATATAATATAAGTTGCACAGTTTATTCAAATATCTCTTTTTTTCAAAAAGGATAGGTTTTAACCACATGTTAATTTGGTTAAACTATGTTTAATTATTAAATTTCTATGTAGAAAGATAAATAGATTTACAAAATATTTGTAATAGTTAAATTGATATAATCATATGCTTTAATTTAATTCAAATATAAAAAAATTTATATATGTCCAACTATATCTATACATAAAGATTTAACAGTTTTGACAATATATATAAACACTTGTACCTCATATAATTATATAAAAAGATTCAACTATATCAACAGTTTCAACAACATCGAATGTAAACACGAGTAAAAGTTCAACTATTTCTATTTCTTCAGATTCAGAATCCTCGCCTGCGACTTCTAATGAGGTAAATACTAAATCTACAGATTCAAACGATGGAAGTGGAAATAGTGGTTCTACTTCATCTTTATCTACGACTAAAAGAACCGGATCCACACAAAGTGGAACAGCTTCAACCGCAACTCCTTCATTACCAACAAATGAAACTGATACATCTACATCTCTTTCACCAACAAATGAAACTGATTCTACTAGTTTATCTTTAATTACAAATAGTGAAACTGGTTTAACTACATCTGATTCTACAACAGCTAGTGTAACTAGTTCAACTACATCTCTCACATCTTCTATTGGCGGAATAAATTTGATTACACCTTCTTCAACGGATGGAACTATTTCAACCATATCTCCTTCATCAGCTAGTGGAACTAGTTTGAATACACCTTCTTCATCAACGGATGAAACTAGTTCAACCATATCTCCTTCATCAGCTAGTGGAACTAGTTCAATTACAACTCAGTCCTTTATAATAAGTGAGACTACTAGCTCAACTGTATCTCCTTCTTCAACAATTATAGGAACTGGTTTAACCACATTTTCTACCTCAACGATAAGAGGGTCTGAATCAACTACATTTTCCAACTTAACAACTAGCGAAGTTGATGCAATTTCAACTTCGTCTTCAACAATTGAAACTGGTTCTACTAATTTACCTTTATTTACAACAAGTAAAACTGGTTCATCCATATCTCCTTCATCAATTATCAGTGAGATTAGTTCTATTATATCGACTGCATCAACAACAAGTGAAACTGAGTTAACTATATCTACATCATCAACAACAAGTGGAACTGGTCCCACTACATTTCCATCATCAAGTAGAGGTGATTTGTCTATATCTCCTTTATTAAAAAATGAAACAGGTTCTACTACTTTATCTTCAATTAGTGAAACTAGTTCAACCAAAGCTCCTTCCTTAACGACAATTGAGACTGGTTTAACAACTACAACTATCGAAACTGTTTCATCCACATCTCCTTCCTTAACAATGAGTGGAACTAGTTCAACTATTTCTTCCTTAACAACAAGTGAAACTGGCTCAAGAACAGCTACTCTTTCACTTTCATCTACAAAAAGTGGAAACGGTTCTTCTATTTTACCCTCATCTACAATAAGTGAAATTAGTTCAACCATATCTCCTTTATTAACGACAAGTGTAATTGGTTCAGAAATTACCCTTTCATCTAAAATTAGCGGAACGGTTTCAAGTGCATCTCCTTCATCATCAACAAGCGGGACTAGCTCAAATACACCTCCTTCATCAACAACAAGTGGATCTGGTTTAACTAAATCTCCTTTATCAACAACTAGTGGAACTGGTTCAGTCACTTCTCCTTTATCAACAATAAGTGAAACTGGTTCTACCACCATATCTGCAACGAATGGAACTGGTTCAATTGCATCTTCTTCATTAACAACAAGTGGGACTAATTCAATTACATCTCCTACATTAACAACAAGTGGAACTGGTTCTACATCTCCTTCCGCTACTTCTTCATTAACTACTATGGCCAAGGGTATAATAATATTACTTTTATATACTGTTTCATTATAATAATTATTTGTTTGATATTAGATAATAAATCAAGTAAACCAGAACCAGCTCTAGGACCAAAGAAAGTAGTGATTAAAATATTTTTTACAACAATAGTTATTTGATTATTCTAAATGCCATATTATATTTATAAGGACTGCTGCAAGCCAGTTACATTGAAAATAGGACAAAAAGTAATTATGAAAATTTTTTAAAAAATTGGTAATCCTACTCTTTTTTTTATATTAAAGGGAGATCCTGGCGAAAGAGGACCAATTGGTCAAAAAGGTGATAAAGGAGTACAGGTAAATAAACGATGAATTAAAATATAAATGTTATGATTTTTATGTTATTAAACAAAAAAAAATTGTTAAAATATGTTATTTTTTAAAATAATTTAAAAACGGAGAATTCTAATGTTCAGAGTGCATTATGAGTTAATTTTACTATTTAAAACAAGAATTTAATAAAAACCAATAGCTGTGAATAATCTTCAGGGGCCGACTGGCGACGCTATGGCCTCGTGGGCATTTTTTTAAAGCGGCCTCATTTTTATGGGGGCTTCGCCCCCAATACTCTTTTATTTTGCGGGCCTTCGGCCGGGTTCCCTTAAATGGCTTCTTCTAATTACATGATTTTTAATACCTCACTATTTACATTTTTAATAAAAATAAATCATATTTTTATTTTAAAAAATTCCACATCTAAAATTATTCATTGCACATCTAAAAAAATATTCATTTTACATATATAATTTATATTATATTTACACGATATTACACTAAAAAATCAAATCATATATCACGTGTTAAATATAAAATAATACATACTCAATATATAAAATCAATTAATTACACATATAAAATTATTGCATTTAAACAATTTTACACAGAGAATAAAATTGCTGCACTTATAAAATCAGGCACCAATCATATTGTAAATAGATATAAATATGATTTAAATACAAGAATTAAGATAATATATAATTTTTTCGTAAATCTCTCATTAACTTTGAACCTTTGCGCAAATAAATCTTCTAGTTCATCTGCGCTAATAGCTCTCGTTCAACTGGCATCATTAGAAATGCTTCTAATTTTTCTTGGCCTCTATTAGCTCTCCCTATTTTTCATATTTTTAATTTACTAAATGTTCTTTCGCAATTAACCTGTGTAAATGACAAAGTTAAAATGTTCATATGCCAAAAATAAATTGGTATATGCACTTGTGTGCATATTGTATCTTTTAAGAATTTCATACACGCATATTAAACACTTGTTACATTTATTATCTCACTCTGATTTATTATCATATTTATTCTTAACTTCTCACTGCTACATTCGAAATCATAGTCCGTTTCATTTAATTCTACTATTAAATCTTTGAATACACTTACAAATGAACACAAATCGTTACGTAATTTAACAATATTTGTAAATTCTGCCAGTTTTTTCAAGACCTTTTCAGAAATACCTTTACTATTTATTTCATCATAATGCCTTGGATGCAAATATTGCACATTCAAAAAAAGCTAATATTCGCAAAAAACAGTTCCGACAAACTACTTATCAATTATAGGACGAAATACTTCGACCCTATAAAGGTCAATCAATTCTTAAGGACGTTCATCTTGGCCTTCATCACTATATATTCTCTTTGCTCGTCCTATTAGATCTTTTTACAAAGCATTTTGTATTTAGATACTCCTGGGAGCTATAAATATTAAAATGTTTCATTTTTAGAAGCCATTTTTATTGTTTTATTTTGAATCGATGTAATAGTTACCGATGATACAGAAGACTTAGCATCTTCTATCATTTTCCATGCTGATAAAATATTAAAATTTTTGAAGATATAATGACATCAACATAAATTATCGATCAATGACTGAACTTCTTATGAGGTTTTTACTTCAAATGATTTATTATCTATTGCTGCAAATATGCGGGGTGAATTTGATGGGTTGCATGCTCTTAGACTAGAGGCTCGGGGTAGTTTTTTATATTTGGTGTTAGAGTCACATATTAAATCTGCATATGTGATTCATGCGATAATATTGAAGGCAAAAATTTATTTGGATTATTGAACAGACTAGCAACTTCTTTGGTATAAAAGGATGGAAGCTTGGGTAAAACAGAATAATTCATCTGGCTAAAGTAAATTGAGAAGGCTGCAAAAAATAGGTGAGACAAGGTGGTGGGCCCGTGAAATAGCCCTTAGATGGATATATGGTAAAAAGAGCGCCAATCTGCCCCTGATAACCTTTAGAAAAAAATATTGAAAGTCAACGGTTTGATGTTCTTGGTTTAGACCAGGGTTTGGACCAAACCCCAGCAGTTTTCACCTTTATAATGGTTTTATTATTCTACTCGGTCTTTGCATAGGGTGATCGGAAGAAAAATGATTTATGATATTTTATCTTTTTATAAATATCAAATAAAATATAAACAATTCAATCTGTCATAATTGAATGTAAATATTTGTAAAATCAACGTTGATAGAATTTGGATTTATAAAATTTAATTTTTAATAAAGTCATTATGTATTGCGTTTTGTGAGTTATTTTATTTTATATAATTTTATTTATAGATTTGTAAAATTGGTTTATTATGAAGTCATTATGATTGCGATTTTTAGTTATTTTTATTTTATATAATTTTATTTATGCTGATTTTCAGCATGATTGTGAGATTTATAATTTAAAAAAAATGTATTTTAGATTATTATTGTTTCGAATTATTTTTTATGAGTAAAGCTTCCCTATAAAAGGGGAAGTAAAATATAAAGTAAAAAGAATTCGTTTTTTTTCCTTTAAAATTTTAAAATTGTTATTGTTTTTATTTTGGAATTTAATAAAATCTATTCTACCGTAACTGTTAGTGTAAAGAAATATAATTTCTAAGCGGCATAACTTTTATACAATCAACTTCAGTTTTCTATGTCTTAGTCAGGTGACAGACGAAAAAAGAAGAGAAATAGATTTTTAAAAAGATGGCACAAACTGTCCTGTGTTGGGTCATGGCTTAAAAATGGAATATCAAATGAAGAATTTTTTTAATCTAATCTTAATAACACTGATCTTATTATTGTAATATAAATTTATTTATTTTTATCAGAGACGTCAATGTATTATTTAGGGGGATGCTTAAAAGTTTAGTTATTTTTAGTGCTGTAAACATTTCTAAAAAAATTGAACGCGTTCAACGTTCATTGACAAAAATCGAACGCGTTCACGTTCAAGTTCATATTCAAAAAAAGTAACGCGTTCACGTTCATAAAAGCGTTCAAAATTTTATGATAAATTTTTTTTAAATTTAATTTAATATAAATAAACTTATATTTTTTAATACAATATATTTTAGCCATGTTAAAAAATAATAGTTTTATTTTGATAATAGCGAATAAAAAGATATTTTTATAAAAAAAAAATCTTATTAAATTTTAATAACAATTGTTTTTAAAATATTTATCTGATAGACAGGAACACTTGGCAGTTAATACGGCATTAGCTAAACTAAAAACGTGCTCTACAGGGGCAGATGAGGGGATTGCGGTATTATACTTAATAAACAGCTCACCTGGAGAATTAATTAAAAACATATTGTTTTGTTATTTACAAAAAATTGAGATAAGTTATCCTCCTCCAATCCATTCTCTACTCTCGACAAAAAAAAGGATATCTCGAAATTAACAGTTCTCTATGGTTTTCAAAGCATTTTTTTCAATAACGCTATATGTTTATTTTTAATAGGTTTCCTATCCATTCTGAAACAATTATTCTTACTGTTGTTATAATATTTTATTATTTTCTAAGACTCAACTTAAACTCAGCTTTCAATTAATTAAAATGAAATAAAAAAACTTACTAAATTCTTAAATAGATCGTTTTCTTCAAATAATAATCACAAATTTATCTTTTTATTTCCATTTTTCAAAATATAATTTTATTTTCAAATATCACAATATTTTTTTTTTCGAAAACAATTAAAATCCATAAAAAATAGAATTATGAAATATTCACAGAAATCATAAGTAAAGAAAAATATATTAATTATAATACTTTGTTTATGTAATCTTCGACCAATCAACAATACTCAATGCTGTTGATTGGCATCTATATTTAAAATCAAATATTGTAAATTTTTCAAATACTATGACAATTATATTCTCATATTTGCTAATAAATAGTTTTCATTCAATAATGATATTTGTATTATATAGGTATTGAAAACCAAAATAAAATCGGTCAGGGTTGTTTTATCTTTACATGGTTTAGTTTTGGCCTTTACTAAGTGGTTAAGGTATGTCTTTAAAAATCGGTTTCAGATTGAACCGTGATCTTCACTATTTATAAATATAATTTAATATAGTAAAAAAAAATTAATGGATATATTGTATTAATGTAACATCATTTATTATTCCTCTCAACATACTTTTTATTTTACCACCACAATCATTTTTTTAAAGAATTTGAGGTATATTTAAGAAAATAAATATTTTTTAACAGGGGCCTCACGGTTCAAGAGGAGAAACTGGAATGCCAGGTAACGTGCGCTTTTTAGATCATCTTGGAAGAATTGCTGAAATGCAACCAGTATAATTATTTTATGCTTTCCTTATCTAATTATTGCAAAAAAACATAGTTAATTTAAAATGACTCTATCTTATATTTTCTTAATCAATAAATAGATATTTGATAATCGCTAATTATTTCAAATATATTAACCATACAAATTTAAACTATAATATAAAGGGTCAAAAAGGACAAAAGGGAGAAACAGGGGACATATCAGTGATCCAAGTTAAAGGTGAATCTGGTGATGGGGGTAAGCCTGGTATCAGAGGATCTCGGGGTAAACCCGGACATAGAGGACCACGAGGTCCGCCTGGACCATATGGCGAGATTGGAATGCCCGGCTTTCCGGTTTAAAACAAAAATACAAATAAATTTTTGAATATTCAATGTATTAAAAAAAATTTAATACATGTGGTAATTATTTTATTTTTAATAATTAGTATCCCATTATATAATCCATACCAAAATTTGTAATATATCCTGTTTAATTACTTTAATTGGCAATTAATTTTGGGAAAAACATTGTAATTGCTATTAAAAGGGACCATCAGGACCCCCAGGGCCACATGGACCACCAGGACGAGGATTACGAGGAGAAAAGGGAGTAATGGGACCACCTGGACCTCCCGGACCTACTACTGTCATTAATGCGGTATTTTTAAAATTTTACTTTTCATTAGAATTAAAATTATGATTATTTAGCGCGGACAACCGTTAACCATTGTTCCAGGACCGCCTGGCCCACAAGGACCAGAAGGTCTACCAGGTCCCTCAGGACCTATAGGACTAATAGGCCCACCAGGTAATTTTTTAAATCTTGACAAATTTTTGAAACAAAACTACATTATCATTGTTAAATATAATGTTTTAAAATTTATAATCAAATAAACCAATAGAAAAATAGACATTTTTGCTAATATAACTGTTATAATTATATATTAAAAAGGACCTAAAGGAGATCGTGGATTGCAAGGATATGTAGGCCCTCCAGGTCTTAAAGGTGAGCGAGGATTTATCGGACCTAGAGGTGAAAAAGGATCTCCTGGTATTGAAGGATTACCTGGACACCCTGGACGACCGGTCATATTCCATTTAATATTAACTTTATATCTAACTAAAATATTTATAGATTGATTTATCGTTAACATTTATTATCCATTGCATTTTTTAAAAGCCATTATAATTATCTTTTTATTTAAAACTTTTATTTAATACCTTTTAATCTTATTATATTCTGCTGTCCATTTTTATTTATCAATTTTATAGAAATGAAAGGTTATGTATTTGTTATGTTTTTAGGCCATAATGCACTTATAGGTAATAATAGTTAAATTATGCAGGGTAAATTTAATAAATAACCTTCAATCCAATCGTCTAAACATAAATTAAAAAAGCGTCTCTCATATTGGTGGCTTTTAATATTATTTTAAATTTTAAAATATTAATTATGTGTGATATATCTTAATGCCATGATTTGCTGATAAATCCTATGATAAGACTATCTATTTTTAATATTTAAGTATTATAGAATATTATAAATGATTCAAATATTTTAAATAATAAGTTAATTCCATTTAAAAATTTACAATAAATAGGGAGAACCTGGACGACAAGGAAGCGCAGGTTTGCCAGGACCACCTGGACCTCCAGGTCCCCCTGCAACTTCGGATTCCCAAATCCAAAAAATTGATCCCCGACAAATACAATCATTGCGTGGGCCACCAGGACCGACTGTATTTTAATTGATTCCTTTTGTATTTCTTTATAAATGCTATAACCAATTTAGAACCTGAACTAGTTTACAAACTAGAGCGAGTCTTTGCTAGTTTTCGAGATATTATATAAACTAGCTGGAGGCTTAGCTAATAAAGAAACTATCCAGTGAATATACAAACTAGCTAGCTAATATATAAACTAGCAAGCTGATATATAAATTAGCAAGCTGATATACAAACTAGCTAGCTATTATACATAGTTAGATAATAACAAACTAGCTAGCACACAAACTAGCTAGCTAATATACAATTAAGCTAATTTGATTTTTCTTCGTTTTCCTATTTTCCCCCATAAATTTTATTAATCCTAATTTTTGTAGGCCTGTGACCTAGTTATATTTTTTTAAAGTATATATTTGTAAACATCTCAGTACTTTCCTCCTTATCACATCAAACATCTTTACCCAATTCATTTTCCTCATTTAGTAATGTTTCCACACTTTTTGCAAGTCTCCTTAATCTTTGTGCTTTCAAGAACACCATTTCCATGAGCATTTTTTACACATTGAACAGCTAGTATATCATGACTTTTCTTCATCATTTGTTATGCGATCCGAATATTATTTTTGTTTCCTTTTTTAGTTTCCAGCTCATTAAAGAATTTATACGTCTTCATTCCCATAATCTTCTATGATTCTGCCATCAGGTCTCCCTATGCCTGTGTATTGCAGGCCCTTTGTCCAACCTCAAACCTCTACCCATTTCAGCAATGCCTTCTTTAATTCTTTTTTATTTTGGTTCATGTCAGATGTTTTGGCACTTGTATTGGCCAATAAAACTTTAAACCTTAGCACATATTTTTTATTTCTTTCCACACCTTTAACTCCGATGTCCTCTGTAAATAAGTGATTTTTGGATGATACACTTTTCTCCTACCATTTTTTTTATTATTTGATATGCTTCTATCGCTTCTCCTTGCCATTGAATATTCTACTGTACTTTTGCATCGCCAGATTAATAAGTCACTTATTGCTTTTTATCCTACTCAAAGATTGTACATACCACTATTTCCATGGCGTAGTTAAAATCTAGAATCTTCTTTCCTTCAAAATTTCTCTCATACAAAAACTAAAGCTCCTATAAACTTCTACATATCCTACAGATATTTTACAACGTGCCTATTTAAGTCTCCGCTGAACATAATCGCCTCCTCATTAGGCTCGCCTAATATCAGCTCTAAAATATGTCCCATAATATATCCTTTTATTCATCACTTACTAAATCCTCGTGGTGCATAAGCTAAAATTACGTTGAATATTCTTTTATCAAACCATTTTAACCACTATCATACAATCGATCAATCTCCCTTGTTGGGTTTCCGCCGGGATACTATTATTATTCTTTTGTCATAAGTAGGTGCCCAATGGGTATTTAGTGACGGTATTTTTAGGACCGAATGCCCCTCCTATCACAAATACCGTTAGGCGGCTTATACAGCGGTAATTTCACCATTCCCCAGACCGAAGGGAAACTTTTAAACCTTCATTAGCCGCCCTGTCCCTCGCTACGTTGAGGTGGATGGACTATTTAAAAAAAATTATTACTTATAATTAATTGTACAAATTTTTTATGGGGATAACCCATTTCCCTGTTATGCCAATTTTCTGGGAAAAGCTCTTTCTAGCATTTTCTTGTCTTGTTTAGAATCTTTATTCCTCTCTCATTTATTTAAATTAGAACTACTTCCAGAGACTTATTGCATTATGTTTAGCCATCAGAATCTCATGAAGCAACTTATGGATTCCCCCTTTTCTTACTATTTTTCAATTTCGTTTTTTAAATATAGCTGCGTTCTTTAAAATAATCCACTTTTTTTATTTTAATCGTCGTGGTTAGAAACTTAATGTTAGATTCAAAGCAAAGCTTAAGAAATAATAAAATTGAATCATGACTTTGCGTCAACAAAAAACTCTGATTGCAAATAGTTATGAAACAAGTCACTGGAAGGTAGTTCAATTTAAAAAGAAGTTTTGAGTAAAAAAGCTAAAGCAAATGGAGAAATTAGAACTTCTAAGATGGTTTTATTCCTGGAAGTAAGAAATACGGAGTTAATCTGTGTATCAGATTTTCTTCATATACACGAAACGTATTAGCATTAATTATAAACAAAGTTAAATTTTGTCATCTTGGAAAAAAGAATCAGGATAATGTGATCTAAGTTTTTTTAGTGTTAATTTTTCCCCATATAAAGTAAAAAGGTAAATTAAAAAGTGAATTAGTTAATATGCGTAAACATTGTAATATATCGAAATATTATAATGTAAGTTAAATAAAATAAAACTTCAAAATAATGAAAAATTAAGGGGATATAAAAGTAGACCAAAAGGGAGAATAATTCTAATATAGAAATCATTAAAAAACTTAAAAATTTGAAATACAGTAAAAGGAATTTCCATTCAAAAAACCGTTAATCTTTTCTCAATTTATTTTTCTTCTCATTTTTGATAATTCTTTTGTCTTTTTTAAAATTAATTTATAAATTTTTCCTGTTATTTTTCTTCACTGCTTCTACACGATTTTTTATGTTATTTTTTAACAATTCTTTCCTCCTTTTTCATCCTATATTATTTTGACTTTTTTTGATTTTCTTTCCTTATATTGTAATCTTTTACATACATTTCTAACCTTTTCAATGTTTTTAAGTCATTTTTAATCTTTATTTATCTGATATTTTCTAAAAAAAAAATTTGATAAAGGTTTTAGTTATTAGTTTGTAAACTAGCTAAACTTTTAGCTTAGTTGGCTAGTTTATGTATAAGCTGTGACCAGGCGCGTAACCAATGGGGGGGAAAGGGGGAAATCCCCCCCCATCGCAAATTTGACTGTATTCTTAAATATCATTTTAAGCTAATAAAAATTTTACCCTCCACCCCCCCCCCCCAATCAAAATTTTACAAATATTTGAATAACAATTTTCCAACATAAAACTTATTTTTTATAAATATATTTTATTAAAATTTCCTTTCCTTGTGAGTACATTAACATTATTCAAAAATATTAATAAAATGTAAAAATTTTAAGTCAAAGAGATTGAAATCAAATGGTAATTTAGTTTATTATTATATATAATTATTTTATTAAATTCAAAATTATTAGTAAGTTAGAATTAATAAGTATTTTTAATATTAATTATTAATAAATATCTATAATTTTTTAAATATTTTATTTTTACTTCGATTTTGTAGAACAAAAAAATAGAAATACAAAAGTTAAATAAGGCTGAGCATGAAAAAAAGTAATGTGTCGTAAGAAGCGATATCATTATTGAATTCAATTGATAAATCAGAGTTTATCATTGCTGCTAGTTGCATCAATAAATTATTTTCCTATAGCTCACTACTTTGTAGAAATTTACAAAAACCAAATTTAGATTTGGTTCAGGTTATTGATTTGGCGGAAAATATATATGAACAGGTAGATATACAATAAGAATGAATGTAGATGAATATTTTCATAATATTTATATAGACGTTGAATCGAAGGCTAAATTTTATGATATAACACTAATTAAACCTCGTCTAGCACCTGGGCAATTATTGAGATGTAAAATAAATATTGGCTCAACTGAAGAATATTATAAAATATCCACTTTCATCCCATTCTTACATACTTTTTTATCGCAAATAAAAGTTCGGTTTTTAGATAAAAAACAAGTCTTTAGCAATCTTCAAGTTTTAATACCCAAAGATCCATCTTGGTTTTCTAATGCCACTATTGGTAAAATTAAATATTTAGCAAAATTTTATACCTACGATATTGATACTGAAATACAGTGAATTCGAATTGTGGTATAAATATTTACTACGTTTAGCTATTTTACCTGAGCATGCTATTGATGCGCTCAAACGGTGTAGAGAAACCTTGGCTCAAATTCCTAATATTTTGAAGTTGTTTTATATTCTACCATGTTTGCCTATTATAACAGGTACGAATGTAAGGACTTCCCAACTTAAGAAGGTTGAAAACATATTTATGAAGTACTACTTCCGAATCTCGGCTAAATGGGTTAGCTCTGTTAAATATCCACAGAGATTTGGTTCCAACGACAAACAAAATTCTTGATAAATTGGCAACATTCCCACGAAAATTAAAAATCACATTATAATTATAGTATTTAATAAAATTTTTTGTATAATACTGTATTTGATAAGAAGTTTAAAAAAACTTGTTTTTTAAATTATATTCTAGTCAATATTTTATAGTTTTGTTAAACGCCTCGTTTTGAGCCGATTTTTAAAAACGGCTAACTCAGTTATTTATCCAGAAAAATATTATGCAAGCCTGAAAATTTTGTTCATAGAAGAAGCAAAGGTCTAGACATATAGTATCGAAATTTCGAGACTTTAATATTTTTCTGGCGAAAATATTGAGTTAGCCGTTTTTAAAAATCGGCTCAAAACGATCCGTTTAACAACTTTAATATTTTATACACACTACTATTAGTATTTTCAATAAAAAAATTTTATTATACTTATATTGTATGAGAATTTAAGCTAAGGCTAGCTTTAAAGCAAATTTTATAAAAAAAATGACATTAAAATTTATTTCAACTTTACATTTAAAAAATTTTATTAAATATAATATACCTAACTAAAAATAATAAAAAATAGGCTTGTAATATCCATTGGCACGAATTAGTAAATAATAGTTACAAATATAAATATAATTATTATTAAACTATGAATAATTTAATGGAATAGCTAAAACATAAGGCCCGGCCGAAGGCGGGAGGAAAGCTGGCCGAAGGCCAGATAAGGGGTGTTTGGGGGCGAAGCCCCCAAAAAATTTCTCCCCCCCCCCCCCATAAGAAAATCTTGGATACGCCACTGGCTGTGACATAATATATAATATTGAATATGTAAATGAGGAATTGAATTATATTAAATCAAAAACTATTATATATTTTATCACTTATATTTGGTTTAATTGTTGCAAATACTAATTCATCCCTCAATTTTTTTCACATATTCTTTTAAAATAATTACTATATTTCCTATAGGGACCACCTGGATTACCTGGAGTTGGATTACCAGGTCCACCGGGTAGAGGATTGCCTGGACCACCTGGCGCTGGGTCTATATCTCCATCTTATAGTAATCATGAGAAATATATAATGATAAAGTCAATATTACATTATTGTTTATAAATTTAATATCGTTTAAACAGTGCAAATGTCTCAATCATGTCCACAAATATGTCCTCCAGGTCCGGCAGGGCCTCCTGGCCCTTCAGGGAATCCGCAAATCCAATCGGTATTAATATATAATTTAAATAACATTAAATATCAATTTTAAGATTTCACCATCGCAAGGAACAAAAGTGATAAGATCTCAAAGGGAGTTGGATAACTTATATGGTAGATTGCCTACTGGGTCGTTTGTTTATATATTAGAAGATCCTAAAGAATCTTTGGTTTTAAGAACTGACTGGGGATGGAAACACATTAAATTAGGAGATTTAATACCACCTCCTAACTCACCTTCTGGTGCATATTCCCGCTATTCATATGATCATCCACAAACCCCAGTCCCTCATAATGAAATTGAACGTCAAAATATAGAACGCCAAAAGCAAATTAACTTACGAAATAATATTTTACAAGAAAGAGAGAGACAGAGACAACATTCAAGAGCTGCCTGGTCCAACGCTAAAACTGTCATAAAAGATGATGTATTGAAGCAGAAATTTTATTTGATTAATCCCAATAAATATAATTACGATAAGGATATATATAATTCAGAAAATCTGAAAAATTTACATTACCATCAAAGTTACCAAAATATTAAAAAAAGCGTTGAAAACTTTAATCTTGTATCCGCTCCATTGACAATAATGAAGACACAATTTCCTGTTGAACAAGAGATGAAATTAGTATTAATTAATTAATTAAATATATCTATAATATTTCTTATTTTATAGCTAAGGTTAATTGCCTTGAACCATCCACTTAGAGGAGGGATGACTGGATTAGCAGGAGCAGATTTTAGATGTTATAAACAAGCTGGAGTTTCAGGATTGACAGGAACATTTAGGGCATTATTAACGGATAAACAACAGGATTTAAAACATATAGTTAGACCTAAAGATTGGAATTCTACAGTGATCAATATTAAAGTATTTTTACATTAAAACAAATTCATAATCTTAGAATAAAAAAATTATTTAGTAAAATAATATTTTTGAATAACTTATCTTATTTAATTGTAATCAAAGCTAAATATTAGATGTTTGAGCAGTTTAATAGTAAATATCTAAAAAGAATAGAGTAGTTCTGTACAGTATCATTTCTAAAATATTATAGGGTGAAAAATTATTTGATCAATGGACACAACTATTTGCTCTTAAACCCTTAAATAAACTGTATTCATTTGATGGGAGAGATGTTTTAAAAGACAATACTTGGTATTTATTTTTTTTGTATGATATTTACATTTGTATAAACCAAGGCCTGATAAATATATTTGGCATGGAGCTATGAAAAATGGGGATATCGATAAAAATTCTTCTTGTAAGGGCTGGACTTCGTCTCATGGTAATTTATTCTTATTAAAATATAATAAATCTATAAATTATTTAGGTACGTATTTTGGAAAAGCTTCTCATATTGGATCTGAAGGACAAAGCAATATTTTAGATCAAAATGTAGTTTCGTGTGATCGAGAGAACATTGTTTTATGTATTGAAATAATAACTAAGGATAATTGAAAACATATGACTATTTGAATATACAATTACGATATTTTAACATATTTATAACATTTAACTGTAGCCTAGACCTAGTTTGACCTTATAAATGCTTATAATTTAATAAAAGTTTTTTTATGTAAGTTAGATAATCTAATCTATTTAATATTTTTAAATTAAGACCTGATATATAAAAAATATAATGCATTTATAAATTTTTAACTTATTTATAGAACTGTTTAATTTATATAATTTTTGTTTCATTAATTTGACTATACAAATATGTATATGATTAATAGATAAATATTTTACTGTAAAATATTATTAAAACATTTGAAATAAATATGTATAAATTTAAAAATATTAAAATCTAAAATTTTGGCTAATTCTATGGCTCCTGAAATAAAATATCCAGTCCTCCACAAAGTAGCAAATAATTTTTTTTTATTTTTTTTTAATTAATAACATAATATTATTAGCATTGATAAAAATCATTTTTAGCTATCTTATATCTATTAATTTTCTGTCCAAATTGTTCTCCATTTATCGTTTGATTATCATTAAAGTTACTTTTTTTTATCACGAAATTAATATTATTTTCATCATTAAATGGAATGTGACTTTTGCGATCTTCAAAATCTTTCCTTTGAGTTATATTTAATTTTCCATTTATTTTGAGTTCTGAATTATTTTGATGTTTAATAGACATATTTGTATCCTTGTCACGATATGACAACAATGCTTTAAATTTTTCAAACCCATACCTAGTATTATCTATATCATCTAAATAAAGAGCATCCGCCCATGGTTGTTTGACGCCTGATGCATATATACCGTAGAAAACAACACCGAAAAAGTGTATTATGCTGGCTATTAAAAAAACTTTCTTCCATTCTTCAGATGTCTAATTTAAAAATATATTTCATTAATATATGAATATTAAAATAAGTAACTTCATGTTTGGTAATCTTTTCAACCACAATAGGACATATCATTCCTGCTAAAGTCCCAATTCCATTAGATATTCCCATTAATATGCTTGCATATTTAGGAGCTATATCCAAATGATTTACATTAAAACCTTTTTTAAAGTTTTTAATAATAAATAAATTGTAAAATGATATTTGTGTTTTTTTTATGGTTATTCTTAAATCACAATAATGAGAGATCGGGGCAAAACGATTGGTATTTTATATTTTTACCATATTAGTTTGAAAAAAGCAAACAGAACAATATGTAGCCAAATTCCCTATTCATAAAATAAAAATAAAAAGTAGCTCAATACCTAAAATATTTTATAGGCTATAATTAATAATATGTGTCATTTTATCTATCTTATCCCGTACCCAGGATAAAATAGCTAAGCACCAGGATAAAGTGGTTAAAACATAATTGATCACAATATTGTTATGTTGAACAAAATATAAGAAATTTTATGATCTATTGATTACTTTGAATTACAAACTTATCAATACAGATTATAAATAAATTATTAAAATTAGAACATTTTGTGGTCAATTTTAGGCACACCTACATTTTAATTATTCCCTATGCGATTATATTTAAAATTCTTATTCCATATAACGCACAAACTACTTATTGATCTTCCTATTTGCTCAAAAATTTCTTTTATGGTTAATATTTCAAAATTCCTTTTTTTTATATATAGCTTTAATCAGGCCAAACATTGTAACCTTTTATCCATAGCAGCTTTACTCAGAAATGATACCTATTAAATAAATCGTTATTATTTGACTTCTTAAGCTATAAAGGTCTAAATACTTCAATTTATAGCTGATACTTTAAAGACATATGTGCAAAATTTTAAATCAAAATTTTAAATCACTAATAAAAATATAATATATTAAAAGCAAAAGAATACTAGAAGATGATTTTTATAATTTACAATTTTTTGGCAAAATATATAAAATCAGTAACATTTACCAATAGATAATCATAGGTAAGAAATTATATATAAAAATATATCTACACGCCAGATTTATATTTATTCTCAAGGGCCAAAGTTATTCGCACTAACATTGTTACCACAATAATTGTTTTATCACGGTCCCGTTAAAAAATGTTTACTAATGAACAAAAAAATGAGTTATAATGCCCTCACTTAAAATTAAATATAATTAATAACTAGACTGATCATTCGTGTAAAATAGAGAAATTAATATGCAACCTCTTGAGTTAAAAATCTGAAGAGAATAAAAGTAAAGATAGTCATAGTCTAATAGTATTAATAAATAAAACACACATAACCAAGAAGAGATCTGCAAGCTCGAAATTTATATATAAAAAATAAAAATTAAACCCATTATTATTAAATATTATGAATTGCTTAGTCTTTATTACAGATAAATTATAATTATTTTATTTTGATAAAACAAGGAGAAAACATTATTTTCAATTTATTTTCTAGAGTTTTTTAATAGTCCCGAATCTAGTTTCAGACCATCTTGCAAAGTTCGAATCAGAAATGCGTTGTAATCAAGATATAGAAAATTAAACTGCTGCATAAATAGATATTAAATTTTTAAAATTATTCTGGGATTTATATTAATTAGTAGTAGAATCAAAATGTTTCAATTAATGTATCTTTTATTAGATGAAGAAAATTTATTAGAACTTTACTAAGATACATATTATATATCAGTTATATTGCTAATTTTTAAATAGCTTGATTAATTTTGATAAAATATGTAATAATATAACCAGATATGGCAAAGCCGCTAAAACCGACTGCTAATGTTAGAGCAGTTATTGCACTCCTTGTATTATTGGTGTAGCCGATGACCAACAAAAATACGGCTTCCATTCCAAAACCTTTAGATAAGAGTTAAAACTGTAAATTAATATTTTATATAATAAAATTTGTTAAACATTAATGAGAATTGTTAGATTACCCCCACAATTAAACAATTTCCTCACCACTGTAGTTGAAAAATAATTCTGGCGTAAATAATCAGCAAGTTGTCCTCCAAATGGAACTATGATTGTCATTACTAAATGAGGTAAGGCAGCCAATAGCCCACCCTGTAATATAATTTAGGAATATTTTACAATAAAAATTTAATTCCTTAATATGGTAAATTTTGAAAAAATACTTAAGGTTGTGTCCCAAATGTTAGAAATAAACCTAAATTTAAATTTTTGCAAATTAATAAAATTGTGAAACATGTCTGAAATCTTTCCATTATTTTTTCTATAAAAAAATAAAGAAAAAACATCAAAAAAACGAGAATAAAATTAACATACTTTAATATTACTTATACTATAGTCATAAAAATTACCCCAAATAAAATAAATTTTGAAAACATTTAATTCAAATTTATTAATTTCTATTATTTTTAAAAATAAATAAATTTTTATAAATGACGGAAAATTATCTAGACTACTTATTTTTACATTGAAAATAATTTAAGTTATTTTTTCTTCAAAATTAATAAATTTATTTATTTAAATTTTAGATTTAGGACACGGCAAAAATTAGACAATATTTTGTTTTAAAAAAAAAGAGTCTATAAGAACTATAATGAGTATTTATAGGAACAACAATATTCACAGTAGGCGTAGTCAGAATGTTTGAGCAGGTGGTGATCTTTTAAATAAAAAAATTTCTAGCCGAACGCCGTGAGTGTTTGATTTAAAATTTCAAATTTTACTTATATCCTATGAGCTTTAAATAATATGAATAAACTTGATTCTATTTCATAACTTTATATTAGCAATTATATCCAATATTTATTTATTTGAAATACAACCGAAAATAATAAGAAATCAACAAGGGATTCGAACCAAACCCGAACCTGGAAAAGAAAACCCGGGTTTTTGAAAAAAATTTGAAGCTGAACCGAACCTTAACCCCGTTTATAATTTTCAAAACCCAGAACTGAACCAAGGAATTTTATTTGAACTCAGGTTCAACCAGGTTCAGTGTATTGTTTAAAATTATAATTGTAAATACAAATATATATAATTTAATTGAGATTTTAATATTTTCAAATTTCCATTATTTAATTTTTTTAAATTTATTCTCAAGATTCCTATTGGAGTGTTAATAAATTTTAAACAATTAAATTCTTTGTGCCATTTATTTTTAATTTTTAACTTATTCTCAAAGATTATTAATTAGAGGAAAATGAAAGTGAACAAGTAAAAGTAAAAATTATTATATTGGATATTGTTAATTTAAAAAAATATGTCTAAATAAATTTTTAAAATTGATATATGGCTATGCTTTGCATTTTTTAACTATATTTTGTTAATAGATAAAATAAATTTTTCATTTATTAATTTAAAAATTCATAAACCCATGCTAAACCCGAAACCAAACCCGGGTTCAACAATATTTCCCTAACCGAACCTAAACCAAACACACCTATTTTTTAGCTTAAGCTGAACCCGAACCTAACCCGGGCAAAAATTTTCCCTGGTTTGCATACCTGAAATCAACAATGATATATTCCTATAATTTAAAATATAGATATTTATATCTTAGATCGGCTCAGTTCTAAATCCTTACCAGATTTTTATGGTTTGACTAAACTACAAATACTGAGGCAAACTACAAATGCCAAGTTTTTTTTGTTTTTTTTCCAGTCATGGGTTACTTTATTTGTATATTTACTGATATGATATGTTGTCAAAATGTAATAGCAAATAATTAATTTTTAAAAAGGTAAAATAAATAAAGGTGAAATGTAGAAATAGAATTTACGGGAAAGGACAGGGGATAAAAAAAAGGAAGTTTGGAATATGGAAGGTTAACTGAGTTCTTAATAAAAAAATTTTATCCCCTATTAATTAAGTTACGATTCATTTTCTTATAAAATATACAAGTTATAAAAATTATATTACAAGATATATTCAATAATAAAGTGATATAAAATTGATAATAATATTTCATTCAATTTATTAATAGATAGTTTGAAATATAATTATAATTAAAAAATATAATTCTATAATACTCAATCCGCAAGTTAGCATATTATTTTATTTTTTTTTAAATTGTTTTTGCTTTATACATTTCTAAAAATAATATTAACATTATTATTTAAAAATGACTTTAAATAAATTTATTTATTTTAAAAAATATCTATAAGGTATATATTTTAAAACATTGATTAATTTATAGTAAAGACTAAAAAATAAATTTTAGTAAAATTTCCTAAAAGATATTATATATTTAAAAAAATTTAAATTATTTAAATAAACCGTTGATATAGTTCAAGGTTCATATTTTTTAATATAATATCTAGAAAACTCTCACACAGAGTGTCTTTCCCTCACTTTGCTTGATATTTCTTGGCTACATATTTATTATTCCTTTGCAATTTTCGCATATCAATTCATAGACTTCTCCATGAAGTATTGTGTATTCGTTATTCCTTTCAATTCCAATTATCTCCTTTTATATTACGCCATTCAGCTTTAATTATAATTTTCTTATCCAATTATGGCTAATCGTATATATTTCAAACTTGCCAATATTTAAGTTACATTTTCGTCACATTTGAAGTTTTTCTGTTTTTGTAAAAGAGTTCATTATTTTTTTTAATAAAAATTGTTAATATTAAACGCAATTTTTTTTATATCTAAATTAATCATCGAAGGATTCAATTTTTTCTTGTATATATTCTTATCTGATCGATTAGTTTGATGCCGCAAAATTAAAAATTATATTAATAATTCGCGCCTCTCTATCTCAATTTTATTCGCTCGCTTTGTTTCATTTTTTTAATATTTTAATCACGCATCATTTTTCGAGGTATTCATTATCGCGACTTCACATATCTTCATTCATTTACTTAATATTATTAAATCTATTTACCAGTTAAGACATTTATTTTGGTGGACCCATAACATGATTTTATTTCCCTTATTTAAACCGCGTAGTATTTGATGAATTTCGCGTTATCCATTCAGGCCTCTTTTTATCAATTTTTATTGTAATAATTCATAATCGGGCCTTTTTTATCAATTTTTTATTTTCGCATTTGGATTTAGTTTTAAATTCATTCATTATCGCATTAATTTATTTTTCATTCATTCAAGTTATTTGCTTTACATTCGAATATATGGCATCAGCTTTAGCTTTATTCATGACAGCTAAATGATAACAAAGGCTTCCCCCTTTGAACCGAAAATCTGCCCTTCCTGCCTAAAACTTATATATTTAACAAATGATGGTATTCAATATGTTCATGGGCCAATCATTAACAGATGCCCTCATTTAAGACTTTCACCTCTCTCCCGTAGGCGCGTACGCAACGGAAAGAGGCAGGGGGACCAATCCCCCCCCCCCCCCCCAAAGCCAAAAAATTCAGATGTCAGGGTTCCCCAATAGGCAGATTTACGACAATCAGTGTCTTCCACACTTTACCTTTGATATCCTTCTTAAGCTTGGTGATCTCCTTGACTTGCTGCCATCGCATAAATCATTCTTCCTCCTTAAAAACTTTTTTAACATTTCACGCACATTATGCTCTAATAGACAGAAGTGTTGGGACAGGCCATTGTAGCATGCTGCATTAAATCTCTATTATCTAGCATCCTCCTAACCGACGGTTCTCTTTTCACTTCTTTAAATGAATCTGGGCATGAATTTTTATAAGTCATTCCTTCCAAAAATCTTTATTCCAACTAACCCATGCAATAGCCTTTCCTCACTTTTGCTCTGACTTCCAAATCCCCATAGACTGCAAAGGACAGATTATATTGATAGTGCGAAGGACGAATCCTCAGGCACACCAAATGCAATTCCTTGATCGCAATTAATAAAGTCCTCCCAAATACGCGCTTTACTTGAACCACCAGAACATTTTATATCCGATGGAAAGCGGCCTATAGGGATCACCCTGATTCAATTAAATGAGGTCAAATTTTGGTTTGGGAGTGTTCTTGTATAGATCCATTAGCTTTCAATAATTTAGGATCTCACATCCGCAATCATACTGGATATCCGAGAATGCTTCTTCATCAGACAAAGACTGGCTATAGCTCTCGAATTATCAAAGTTTCAAAGACAGTTTTCTCTCCGCAAACCTTCGCTAGATTCACTTTTTCTTCTTTATTCTTATCATTTTACACTATATTTCACCCATATATTATTTAATTTGGAATTTATTTGTTGTTCATATATAAATTTTGTGTTGACTTATATTATTTGATAAATAAATTATAATAAGGTTTATTATCTATAAAAAATAATTGATTTAAAAAATTAGGGTTATTATTGCTAGATTTTAAATTTAAATTTTTTAAAAGAAATTGCAAATGGTTATGTTTCAATGCCAGGCGCCATTGGCGTAGCGGAGGGGGAAGGGCAGGGGGACAAACCCCCCCTCTCCTAAGCCAAAAAATACAGATGCCGGATTATATTTTTCAAAAATTTGATTGTTAATTTATATTTGTTAATATTTATATATATATATTTAATTACATTTATTTATCACATTCATCTACTAAGTTATTTTATCAATTAATTTCGATTTCAAGTTTTCTTTGGCGTAATTTACCTATTATTTTCAAATTTTAGTGGCGTAATATTTATCTAAATTTCTAGTCAATTAATAATTATCTCTGAAACTCCTTGTCCAACAGGGAGAAAGAAATTGTAAGCTTGTCCAACGAGATCGAGTCTCCACCATCAAGCAGTAACAGCTATTATGGAGTTAGAAGAGCCGATTATTAATGCTATTACTGAAATATCACAATGGCTTGAAAGAAATATTTCCTCAGAAGCAAGAAAATTATTGGATTCAATACTTATTCCAAATTTTTTTTCTCATTAGAATGTATTATTTAATTATACAACTATTTTATGTAATACTTTTCAAAAATAGGAAGATGAGAATAGCGGAGAGTATTTTATTAGAACTCAAGGAAATTAGAGCTAATGTTGATGAAGAATTTCATATTTTATATGTTATTGTTGAGTCAAAAGCAGAGCTATACGTGTTTAATATTTGTCCCCCTAGACTTGCAGCAAGCAAGCTCATCGTAATATAGTATCAGTAGAAGAGTATTATAAA